CGCGCTGCTCGCTGCGGTAGCTGCTCCGAGTCGTATTTCCACATTCCTGAACCCAGCCGAGTCCTTACCTGTTGAGCCCCGATCTCCTTTAGACGGAATCTGTCTCGGCCTCCTTCGATTGGGGGTGGAGGGGTGGTGAGACCCAGAGGAAATCGGTGCACCTCGCGGGGAGGGCGGCACCCACTGCGCGGGGCCCCTTGCTCCTGTGCTAGCCCCACCCCTCTGCCCCACCTGCTACGCTCCTACTGTGTGCCCAGCGCACCCACAGGCCCCTCGTGAGCAGACCTGCAGGGACCCGGTGAGAGACCGACCAATCAGCTCCTCCATCGCCCTTCCATCCCCTCTTGGCTCCGCCATTTTACAAGTGGAGAAACCGAGTCCCAGAGCAAGCAGGGCCCCGATCTGGAGGCCTCCAGGGCAGGGCTGGAAGCCTGGGTGATGGTCTCAGTCCTGCAGGCCTGGGCTGGCGCCTGTCCTGCCCCTGGTGGCTCTGTTTATTGTAGTCTGTGGGCAGGCTGTGTCCCTGCGTGTTTGTTTATGGAGGTGTGGGGCGCCTGCCTCCAGCCACCGGAGCTGGGGTGGGCCAGCAACTGTCTTCCAGACACCTGGTGCCCTGGGGTGCCATCCCTGCTGCCTGGCTCCCCCGGGAGGCCTTGGGCAGCTCCTCGCAAATACTGGTTTAGGGGTTTAGCTCTCCCAGCTCTAAGGATTAGGAAACAGTGCAGGAGGCCAAGTCACTGACCAGAGGATCAGTGGTGGAGCTGGGCCCATTCTTCCTAACATCAGGCCCTCAACAAGGGGCTGGGAGAGCAGCCCCTCCCCCACCCGGCAGTGGAAAGAGCTCCCCAACTCAAGCAGGAGCTGAGGGCCAGGCAGCCTGGGCTCTGGGGAGTGGGTTCCCAGGCACGGAGGTCTGTGTTGCCTTCCTGAGCCTGCTGTTCCCTCTGAAGTGGAATTGAGGCTCTGGCCTCTCTGGACCGAATGGGATGGAAAGCAGGTGAGCCAGACCCCAGTAGTGGAGCCCCAAGCCCCCACTGTGTAAGAGAGGGAGGCCACGGCCAGGCTTCTCTCCCTGCTCAGGAACCCTGGAGGGGAACCCTTCCCCCTGGTGGCTCATGTCCCTAAGGGAAGGGTGGGTAAAGCGGGGATCTACTCAACTGGCTCCTCCCAAAGGCCTGGGCTGCTTTCTGCACGTGCTATCTCAGAGGTATCAGGTAGGCCGGAGAAGACAGTGGGGCCCAGATGAGGAGGAGGTTTGGGGGTCTAGGTCTAACTCGGCACCCTTCCCAGCCTAGCCTGGAAGGGTCCCTGGTTAGCCGTAAAGCTTTCCTTCCATGGCTGGGCTGGCACTGCCCCCAGGCTGCCCACTGAGGCCTTAGTCCTGGGGCCTTTGCCCTGATAGAGTAGGGTCCTGGCAGGGGCGAGTACCCCCATAGGCACCTGGAAATCCTTTTTTACCTTAATAACCAGGGGACCACTGCCCAACTGGGACCCCTGGGGATGTCTCCGAATGCTGCATTCCACCATCTCAGAATCCCAGGAGTTGGGATTTTAGGGTCATAAAGGATCCAGCCTCAATTCAGAGATGGTGGGCATCAGGGGTGTTCCTGAGCCTGCCTAGTGTGCTGCATGTTTCTGCACGTTCAGGGAGGGTGTGCAGCCCTCACCCCCACCTGTGCACACACGCTCCTCACCTGGTACCCTTCAGCCGTGAAACGCGAAAGAGCGGTGCTGGGGGCGCTACTGTACCAGAGGGACCGGAGCTTGGGCCTCATGGTCCCAGAACAGATGTGCCTTCCATTCTGACAACCGCAAAAGAGGATGTCTGTGAGGAGCCACACTTCCTCACCTGGGAGCTTTTGGGGTGGAGCAGCCTCCAAGCCCCAGTCCTGGAAGAGGTCAAGGCAAGATAGGGACCAGCCCCGCTGGAGTGTGGGCCAACCAAGTTCCAGGACCGGCCCTGCCTGGGGCACTAGTGACCAGGAGCAGAGGGGCTGGGACCAGGAGGGATGCAGCTGGAACAGGAAGAGAAGCCTTTCTTCGGGACCCTGGAGAGGAGTCTCCAGGACAGGCCTCAAAGCCAGGAAATGTGCTCATGGGGACCCCTGGTACACTGCATGGCGCTCCCCTTTCCAGCTGCCTTGTCTGGGGTGACACCCCCCTCCGCAGGTTCACATCCCTCCAGAGGACACTCATATGCAGCCAGGACTGCAGGAAACAGGAGATGGGATCCCAATCTTGTGCATCTAGGTTAAAACAAAACAAAACAAAACAAAACAACTTATGGAGAAAAAGAATCGTTTAGAAAGTGTCTTTCCACGCTACAACCATCCCAGGAAATCCTCAAAGGACAACCAAAGCTGTAGGGTGGGGAGGCTAGAGTTGGGAGTCCCCAATGTGAGGAGGGGACACCTGTCCAGCACCCAGTGCCAGCCTTGCCTGGGAGGGTTCTGGCAGGCAGGACAGGGGGCTCCAGCACCCTCACAGGGCTGGCCTGCTGCAGCCTGTGGTTTCACATCCATCTTCCCTACCCCCGTGCACACAGGCAGAGACACAGCACACTCAGGGTCTGTGTACCCACACCTGCGCCCACACTAACGCAGGCACAAACGGGCACATGCACGCGCGCCGGCGGAAGAGGAGCATGAGCCTCCATGCCGTTACCCCAGGTGCCACCCCCAGGGGTGCGCTCCAGAGCCAGCTCAGAACTCCGTGGCTCGCCCAGGGTGGGGGTGAGCGCGTCCCGGCCGAGGCAACTCGGGCAAACCCTGGGGGCGGCTCCCAATTGCGCTCCGCTCTCCGGTCAGCCTCCCCTTTAAAAAACCCGCCCGCCAAGGAGGCGGATGTAGGGGCGGCCTGTCCAATGGCAGCTGCGCGCCTCAGGAGACTTGGAGACGTGAGCCAGCGCGAGCGAGCGACAGAGCCGGTTAGCACTGACAGACGGACGGAGGGCCAGACAGCCGCCAAAGCGCGTCCGCCCCCTACCCCCGTCCGGCCCCGGCCCTCTCC